ACCTTCAAGAAAGCATACAGGAGGGAAAATAAAAACACCATACTGGCCCATCTTACTGAATCAGAGCCTCGTATTGTTGGTTTGTAAAATTTAAGGCTTGGAGAGCCTGACTGTGTGTGCAGATCTCTTCCTCATGTGATAACAGGTATTTGGAGGTATGAAAGTGAAAGGAGCAGCCCATGCATGGCATCTGTGGTCCCTGGGTCTTGGGGTAGGGCACAAAGAGAAGAGACTAAGTTTCCAGGCTTAATCAACCCTGCAGCCAGGAAATCACGCAGAGTCACAGAATGGTGGCTCAGGAAAGGGCCTTGGGCATCCCTTCTTCCTGCCACGTAGAAGTTAAATGATCTGCCCAAACTCCCACATCTCCTCTGTGGCAGAAATAGGACCACTGCCAGGTCTCAGGATAGCGCTGCTTTCCTACTCCCTATTTCCATTCCACCTTCCAGTGTTGCTTTCTGGGCCAGTCCACCCACAAGATTCTACTTAAAACGGGCAGCCAGATGCCAGGTAGGTTTTGTGCTAGACTATGTTGCTCTCAAGCCAAGAAGCTGCCACCTCCACCACTGCCTGAAGGCTGAGCCTGGCGGCGCCCAGGCCAGTTGGGTCTCATTCTCTCTGAAGGGATTGCCAATGCCTGGCTCGGTCCTGCGTACCTTTTCTGTGCTTTCATTCACTGGCATCCAGGGCTCTGTTTTTATTTACTTGTTTTCATTCTTGAGGAAGTGTCACCAGTTGGAGAAGTGAAAGCCTCGTCTCTGTTTCGCTGTAACCAAAGGAAAGCACGCGTCAGAAGGTGCATTTTCCAGTAAGGCGGGCTGGTTTGAGGCAAACCTCCCAGTCTGTCAGAACTGGTCTTAAAATGGCCAACTTTTAACTCATTTTCTCTAAAGTAATGATGTGAGTACAAAAGTAACAAGCTTTCAGTCTGGAGTATGCAAACATAAATTAATTAAACTGGCTTTTAGAATTTCCCTGATTACATATAGCCTTTAAAACGCATATACATTGCAGTATTATGGAAAACTGAGAGAAAACATAAACTGCCTATTACTCCAACCACTCAGATATTAATACTGTTAAGATTATTTTTAATACGTATCCTTCTCCTCTTTTTCTCAGTGCATATGTCATTTTTTTAATGGGCCCGTGTTATTCATATTGTGTTGTAGCTTGCTTTTTCTCTTCATTTATCCTGAATATTTTGCCAGTAATAGCCTGATTTTGATGACTAGTATGCATTTTAACTAAGTTTGAAAGTATACATTCTACAAATAATGCATATAACATTTGCTTACTTAACACGGATTACGTGTTGGCTCTATGCCAGAAGCTGTACTGGGGCCCCCAAGGCTTGAGGTCTCCTCAGAACTGGGCTGAATCTAAAACCTTTAGATGGATTAATGGCTGTAGACACTCTGATTTTGAGCCACCCTGGGAAGTGGAGACTTAGCTGAGCCACCTCCTATGCTGAGAGATTCCAGGGACTTCCCATCTTCTGCAGAATAAAAGGGTGAAAGGTAGAGGAGGGGAAGGGAATGAAAAAGGCAGTTTGATTCATATCAGCATGCAAAAAATGGCAGCACAGCATCTTCCAACCTCCTTGTCTGCCTTGACAAGGAGGGAAGAAGAGAATCACCATCAGCATCAGCCCAAGGCTGATAGCTATGAAGTGAAGGTCAAACATACCTCCACCTTCAAACTTTTTGCCAATTCTGACACCAGTTGTCCCTCCGACAGCACTCTTCTACTTCTCTCCTGGGTTCGATAATTTGTTGCAGTGGTCATACAGAACTCACAGGCAGTACTCACAATTATGGGGTTTATCAGGATAGTAATATGTTACAATTCAGGATCAGGAATGACTCAGGATACAGTTCTTTGGTCAGGACAGCACCTTCTCAGCCATGTCTCAGGCAGGCCTCTCCCTGGCCCTCAGCCTCTCACCCCTTGGCTCCTTGGCCCCTCAGGCCTTCTGGGCCAGCCTGGCCTCTGCTCTGCCTGGGTAAGTGTTACAGAGTTCTTTAGCTCTGCCAATAAGTGCCTGAGGGTACCTCACTTTGCCAGTAAGCCTCGGCCTGAAGAAACTTAGCTCTCTTGCTCCATGGGTTGGCAAGCCTAGCTCTGCCAAGTGCCCAGAGGCACCCCACTCTGCCAGGACGCCTCCTACCTGAAGGCCATCAGCTCTCTTGCTCCGTGGGTCGGCACACCCACTGTAGCCACCTCACTCTATGGGCTGGGAAGCCTACCGCGCTGTCTTGCGCTGGTCTCCCCCTGGTCTCCTGGTTCTGCTGCTGCCGTTTTCTCTGCAGCTGCTTCTCGCTGTCTCACGCCGTCTCTGATGTTACAGCTCTCCCTGTCTCCTGGATCTAGGAGGTTCTCAGCATGGGGACCCCGAGTCCAAAGGATGTGCTCCACTCCTGGTTCTTCTTTCTTGGTGGTAGTGAGGTCCCCACTTTCTCCCTCTTGGATGACTCATTTTAAGCCTAGCAGGATGGCAAAATTGACCAATCTACTTGTTAGGGTTCCAGATACCTTATTTGCATGATCCCATCCCCACAAGGGCACCATGTACCTTATTTACATTGTTAGCAAGTTGTCCAGTCCCCTTGGTGGGCCACAAGCACCTTATTTGCGTAATTCCACCAAATCACTGTGTGGTAGTTGCAAGACATGCATGGCTAAAATGGCCATATTAAGTAATTCACTGCACTGCACAGCAATAAACTTGACACTTTCAGGTACTAGATTGCTTCTTACCATGGAGACCTTAAATGCCTGGGGACAACTTGGAGGAGGTGGGTATGACTGTAAGGCCAGATGATGGAACATTCATATTACCAGCACGGGGCAGGGTTCACACCTTCCCCATCTGCTAACAGTATGGGCCTGGGTAAGTCACTGAACCTCCTGGGCTTCAGTTTCCTCACCTATGTAAGACCAGGTTTTGCTCATGGGGACCCCAAGTGTGTCAGAGTAGAACTGTGCTCCACAGGGTTTTCAGTGGCTGATTTTTTGAAGTAGATTGCCGGGCCTTTCTTCCAAGGCACTTCTGGGTGGACTCGAACCTCCAACCTTTCGGTTAATAGGCAAGCGCATTAACCAACTGCACCACCCAGAGACCCAGTTCACTTGTGTAAAGGAAATAATAACGGTACTCAACCTCCAAGCCAACTATTCGGATTAAGTGAGAACCTGTGTAATTCGGTAAATATTGGTGGTGGTGACTATTTACTGGCTGTTGTTATTATCATTTTACCGTGTCAAATGGCAGCAAGTAACCTTTAAAGCTTCATTTTAAGGTAAGATAAATTGGTCATCCTGGTGCTTAGTATTTGAACCATAGAGAAATACATTCAGAAACATGAGAATTCTTGAGACTGGAAGTTAGTTCTCCATTGGTCATGCATAGGTAATATATTACTGGAATGTGGTGTGCTAGGAAAATACTCCTTAATGAACTAGTGGGCTACAAAAATCCTTGAGGATCATGTCCCCTTTGCATTATGTATTATTTCTAAAATAACTCTCATGAATTATTTTATTTCACTGATTTCTAATGGCACATTTTTGACATTTTAATATCTCTAAATCTGGATATGTCTTAAAACCAATGGCGTGTCATATTCAACAGTGTCTTTTCTCTCTTATAGTACTTAAAATAATACAACGTAAATTGATGACATCTCAGATTTAATAAAATATGTTCATTTCTCTAGTTTATTTTTGGGCAAGAGGGGCCCTTTGGCCCTGTTTTTGTAGTTATTTCTAGTAATTGGAAACACCAGTGTTCTCAAGAGCATTATTCATCAATATTTAACTGCAAATTTGTTTTCCAACCTCAGATAGCCCCTAAAATCAAATCCATTTAGGGGAAAATAGCTAAAAATCAGCATTTCTGCCAGTATTTTACATGTTAAGGTCATAAAATAAAAATACTATCATCTATTAACATTTCTAGATGGGGAGGGGGAAGCGCTTTAAATTATAAAACCCAACTTACTAGTTTGTAATGTTAAACTGGTTGATTTTCAAATGCTTCTTACAAGATGTCAGTTGTTCCTATAACAATGTAAAAAAAATTCTCTATATATGTGTGTACATACATATGAAACTTTACAATAAAATAGACTTTTGTTTGCTTAACTATTGCCTCTCATTAAGTCTGTTAATGGGATTCTACTGAGGCTTATTGATACATTAAGAACTTATAAAACCCATTAAATAATATAAATGTTATCCTTATTTTCTGCCTAAGATTTTAAAAGTGCATTTCAGTTTAATCCTATGTTCTTCCAGAATTGATACACACATTTATCCATCATTAGAAAATGTGCATCTAGTTATGGGGATTTCAAAACTACCCCATCCTCCAAAAGAAAAATCACTTTTTTGTTTCTGGATGCTATTGTGAAATCTTTCAGACAAATTTTGATTTAATGGGAGAAAATACACACTTATGAGACTCAAATCCACTGGTTTTAGTAGACCTGTGGGGTATTTTATGAAGTATTTAATGGTACTTTCACTCAGAAACCAATTTAAGCCTTTATTTTAAAATCTTTTAAAATTTATAAAATATTTTATACACATTAAAACAAAGATCAACTTTAGCCCTTTCACAAGAAATTTCTGCTAAACTAACACAATAATCATTAACTTGTTCTCTTTCAAACTTTTATTCACTTTTATCAAACAACTACTGTAATATCAGTGGGAAAATTTTGGATTTCATTCTGGAGTCATTTAGCTCTCAATTAAAGATGGTGTAAAATTATATCGATTTTGTTTTCTAATTACAGAAGCAATGCATCGTTGTTGCAGAACATTTTGGAATACCAAATATATATATATAAAATCATCAAAGTTGTAAGAGTGAATTCATATGGGAAATCTACTGTGTATGCCTAAAAAATTCTATCAAAATAGGAAAAGTTTTCCTTATTAGAACCTTTTTCACAAAGGACAATTTATTCAAGGGAGAAAAATCTCTTTTTCAGGCAACCACTGAGGCAGCTGAACCGAACAGTCAGGATGATGAGAATGATGGTGGAAAACCAGAAAATGGGAATACAGAATTTGCCTCATCAGGTTTGTTTCATGACAAACAAGTTTTAGGATAAATCATGGTAACTTTTAAGAAAGATTTCTCTTACTGAGCCTCAATAGATTAGTTTCTATAACTGGTGTGGGTGTACTGCCACCTAGAGGCTTCATGGTGAAATTCTGACCATGTGTTTAATCCTCCTATAAAAATAGGAGCCCGCACTTTTTTGTTATTGTTTTTAATTTATTGTGGTGAATATCTATAACAAAAAGTTTGCCATTCTAACCATTTTCATTGTACAATTCAGTGACATTTATTACATTTACCATGTTGCGCTATCACCACTATCCATTTCCAAAAGTTTTAAATTGCTTCAAACAGAAACTCAGTATCCCTTCATCATTAACTCTTATTCCCTTAAACCCATGCTTTTTTGCTACCCTGTTTTGTTTTGTTTTTTGAAGGTATATTTTCATCATCATAGGTAAGATTGTATCTTCCCATATAAGTAATGCCAAAGATTGAGGGTCATATTCTTAACCTACAGTAACAGCAATTCGTAAGACGTAAATAAAAATAGATCATAAAAGTAGAGGCTGCAATGATAAAGCTCATGAATAGTTTCAAAGAGTAAAGTGATACCACAAACCTGGACAGTGAGCATGAATATACTGTATCCATTGCTTAGATAAGGGGACCCCTATTACCTGTTGCCGTAGAGTCGATTCTGACTTATAGCAACACTGTGGGACAAAGTATAACTGCCCTATTGGGTTTGCAAGCCTGTAGTCTTTACAGAAGGAGCTCTCGTGACACAGTGGCTAAAAATAACCATAAAGTACCCACAAAGTATTTTTAATGAAAGCACTGAAATACAAAAAGAAGGAGTCAGGCTGCCTCAGTCATTTGCATAGGCATTATTTGTAGATGTTCTTTTATCCAACCCCAGCTGTCATAGTTGTTAGATGTTTCTCCAGCATTTTGTGCCCAGTGTTGTTATTTACATGTAAACTTTGACACTTATTAGGAACCTCAGTTTTTGACAATGAAGTGTCATAGAGGGGTTATTTGAAGTTATTTGAAGTGTTTTATGTTGCTCGTTATTTTATACTATCATGAAAGAACTTTGAGAATTTAGGCATTTGAGGCTTTTTTATACTGATCATCAATCACAACGTAATACAACTTTTTTTTAATCTTCTAAATTTTATTTATTTTGTTTTTGTTGTTGAGAATATACACAGCAAAACATACACCAATTCAACAGTTTCTACATATACAATTCTGTGACATTGATAGCGTTCTTAGAGTTGTGCAACCATTCTCACCCTCCTTTTCTGAGCAGTTCCTCCCTCCTTAACATAAACTCATTGCCCCCTAAGGTTTCTGTCTAGTCTTTTGAGTTGCTATTGGCAATTTGATCCCATTTAGATAGTTCTTAAAAGAGCATAATGCTCAAGGCAGACCTTTTTTACTAGTTAAGCTAAACTATTGCTTGATTTTAAGATGCCTTCAGGGGATTTTTAAAAATTTTTTTTTATTGTACTTTAGGTGAAGGTTGACAGAAGAAATAGTTTCTCGTTAAACAGTCTGTACACATATTGTTTTATGACATTGGTTAACAACCCCATGATATGTCAACACTCTCACTTCTCGACCTTGGAAGAACTTTTTTGTGTGTGTGTGTGAAAATATACATAGCCAAAGATACACCATTTCAAAAATTTCTACATGTACAATTCAGTGACATTGATTACATTCTTCCAGTTGTGCTGGTACTCTCACTATCCTTTTCCAAATTATTCCATCACCATTATCTTCAACTGACTGTCCCCTAGGCTTCTCATCAAACCTTTTGAGTTGCTGTTGTCAATTTGATCTCACGTAGATAATTCTTTTTTTTTTTTTTGTACTTTAGATGAAAGTTTACAGAACAAAGTAATTTCTCATTAAACAGTTAGTACACATTTGCCCTGTAACAATGGTTAACAACCCTACGACATGTCAACACTGTCCTTTCTCAACCTTGAGTTCCCTATCACCAGCTTTCCTGTCCCCTCCTGCCTTCTAGTCCTTGTCCCTGGACTGCAGTGCCTCATTAGTCCCATTTTGTTTTATGGGGCTGTCCAATCCCTGGCTGAACGGTGAACTTTGAGAGTGACGTCACCACAGAGCTAAAAGAGTGTCCGGGGTCCATACTCTCAGGGTTTCTCCAGTCTCTGTCAGGCCAGTAAATCTGGTCTTTTTTTGTGTATTAGAATTTTGTTCTACAATCTTCTACACCTCTGTCCAGGACCCTCTGTTGTGATCCCAGTCAGAGCAGTCAGTGGTGGTAGCCGGGCACCATCTAGCTGTACTGGACTCTGTCTGGTGGAGGCCTCGGTAGCTGTGGTCCGTTAGTCCTTTGGACTAATCTTATCCTTGTATCCTGTTCTCTTCATTCTCCCTTGCTCCCAAAGGGGTGAGACCAGTGGAGTATCTTAGATGGCACCTCACAGGCTTTTAAGACCCCAGATGCTACTCACCAAGATAGAATGTAGAACATTGTCTTTATAAACTGTGTTATGCCACATGGGCTAGATGTTCATCAAGACCATGGTCCCCACAGCCCTCTGCCCAGGAATTCAGTCCCTCAGGGAGTTTAGATGTGTCTATGGAGCTTCCATGACCTTTCCTTGTACAGGTTGTGCTGGCTTCCGCAGTATTGTGTACTGTCATACCCTTACCAAAGTTACCACTTATCTATTGTCTATTTAGTTACCCCCCCCATCCCTTGTAACCAACAAGGATTGTTTCTTTTTCATGAGTTTTTATAGTAGAGGTCTCATACAATATTTGTCCTTTTGTGATTGACTTATTTCACTCAGCATAATGTCCTCCCATTTCATCCATGTTATGAGATGCTTCACAGATTCAGCATTGTTCTTTATCATTGTGTAATACTCCACTGTGTATATGTACCATAGTTTGTTTATCCATTCATCTGTTGATGGGCGTCTAGGTTCTTTCCATCTTTTTGCTATTGTGAACAATGCTGCAATGAACATGGGTGTGCATATGTCTATTTGTGTGATGACTTTTATTTCTCTAGGATATATTTCTAGGAGTGGGATTGCTGGTTCATATGGTATTTCTATTTCTAGCTTTCTAAGGAAGCGCCATATCATTTGCCAAAATGGTTGTATCATTATGCATTCCCACCAGCAGTGCATGAGAGTTGCGATCTCCCTGCAGCCTCTCCAACATTTGTTATTTCCAGTGTTTTTGACTCATGCCAGTAATGCTGGGGAGAGATGGTATCTCATTGTGGTTTTAATTTGCATTTCTCTAATGGCTAGTGCTCACAAGCATTCCCTCATATATCTGTTGGCCGCTTGAATGTCTTCTTGGGTGAAGTGTCTGTTCATTTCCTTTGCCTATTTTTAAATTGGATTGTTTGTCTTTTTGTTGTAGAGGTGTTAGATTTTCTTGTAAATTTTAGAGATTAGATCTTTGTCTGACTTGTACTGTCCAAAAATTTTTTGCCAGTCTGTAGGTTCTCAGTTTACTCTTTTGGTGAAGTCTTTTGATAAGTATAAGTGTTTAATTTTTAGAAGATCCCAGTTATCTAGCTTATCTTCTGGTGTTTGTGTGTTGTTGGTTATGGTTTGTATCCTGTTAATGCCATGTATTAGGGCCTCTAGCGTCGATCCTATTTTTTCTTCTATGAACTTTATAGTTTTGGGCTTTATATTTAGGTCTTTGATCCATTTTGAATTAGTTTTTGTATATGGTGTGAGGTATGGATCCTGTTTCATTTTTTTGCAGATGAACATCCAGTTTTGCCAGCACCATTTGTTAAAAAGACCGTCTGTTCCCCATTTGATGGCCTTTGGGCTCTTGTGAAAGAGCAGGTGACCATAGGTGGATGGATTTACATCTGGGTTCTCAATTCTGTTTCACTGGTCAATGTATCTGTCGTTGTACCAGTATCAGGCTGTTTTGACCACTGTAGTTGTATAGTAGGTTCTGAGATCCAGTAGTGCGAGTCCTCCTACTTTATTCTCCTTCAATAGTGCTTTACTTATCTGGGGTTTCTTCCCTTTCCATATAAAGTTAATGATTAGTTTTTCCATCTCTTTGAAGAATGTTGTTGGTATTTTACCGGGATTGCATTGTATTTGTAAATTGCTTTGGGTAGAATTGTCATTTTCACAATGTTGAGTCCACCTATCCATGAGCATGGTATGTTTATCCATTTATGTAGATCTTCAGGGGATATTTTTGGTTTGAGGTTAAAAGATTATATCAGGGCAATAGTTTCAGAGGTTCATTCACCCTTCATGGTTTCAGGAAGTTTAGAGTCAATGAGAATTTGAAATTCTGTTCTGCATTTTCTCCCTTTTGATCAGGATTCTTCTGTGGAATCTTAGATCAAAATGTTCAGCAATGGTAGCTGGGCACAATCCAATTCTTCTGGTCTCATGGCAAAGGAGGCAGTTGTTGATGGAGACATTTAGCTGCACATTCCATATTCTCTTCCTGTTCCTGACTCCTTCTTCTCTGTTGCTCCAGGTGAATAGAGACCAATTGTCGTGGCTTGGATGGCTGCTTACAAGCTTTTAACACCCCAGCTACTATGCAACGAACTAGGAGGTAGAACAGAAACACTAAACAATTAACTAGAATGCCTCATGAAACGATGACCCTAAAACTTCAAACCAAGGAACCAAATCCCTTGAGGTGTTTCGTTGTACATATGCAGCCTCAGCAGCTGTTCTTTTTTTTTTTTTTTTGTCATTGTTGTAAATACATATATTACACAACTCTTTACAAGTGTACAACTTATTGACAGCAATTACGATAATCGGCTGTGCAACCCTAGCCTTAATCAACGTGGTTTTTCCATCACCGTTAACCCCCATTTTCCACCTCCCTCCTGCTCCTGGCAACCACTAATAAACTTTGTTCTCTATACATTTGCCATTTCTTCTCTTTTTATATAAATGAGGACATACAATATTTGTCCTTTTGTGATTGGCTTATTTTGCTCAGCAGAATGTCTTCAAGCTCAATCCATACTATCGAGACTTCATTTATCTTACTGGCTGAGTAGTATCCCATTGTATGCATGTACTACATTTTGTTTATCCATTCATCTGTTGATGAGCATTTTAGATTGTTTCCACCTTTTGGCTATTGTGAATAGTGCTGCAATGAACACTGGTATACAAGTCTCTTAAGTCTCTGCTTTCAAGTCTTTTGAGTATATACCTAGGAGTGGAATTGCTGGGTCATATGGTAGTTCTATTTTTAGTTTTTTGAGGAACCACCACACTGTTTTCCACAATGGCTGTACCATTTTGCATTCCCGCCAGCAGTGGATAAGGTTCTGATTCTCCACATCCTTGCCAACATTTATTATTTCCTGGGTTTTTTTGTTTTTGTTTTTGTTTTTATCTTAGCCATCCTAGTGGGAGTGAAATGGCGTCTCACTGTGGTTTTGATTTGCATCTCTCTGATGGCTGATGATGCTGAGCACTTTTCAGCGTTTGGTGGCCATTTGAATGTCCCCTTTGATGAAATGTCTATTTAAGTCCTTTGCCCATTTTGTGATTGGGTTATTTGTCTTTTGGTTGTTGAGTTGTTGAAGTTTTATATATGTTTTGGTTATTAGATCCTTGTCATATACATGGTTTCCAAAGATATTCTCCCAGTCAGTAGCTTGTCTTTTCACTTTTTTGGTAAAATCTTTTGATGAACAAAAGTTTTTAATTTTTATGCAGTCCCATTTATTTATTTTGTCTTTTGCTGTCTGTACTTGTGTCATATTAGAAATCCATTGTTGAAAGCTAGGCCTGACAGTGTCACCCCTGCTTGTTCTAAAAATTTTATGGTTTTGGTTTCCACATTTAGGTCCTTAACCCATTTTGAATTTGTTTTTGTGTATGGTGTGAGGCATGAATCCTGTTTCATTTTTCTAAATGTAGAAATCCGATTTTCCCAGCACCATTTATTGAAGAGACTCTTCTTTCTCCATCGAATGGACTTAGTACCCTTGTCAAAAATCAATTGACCATAGATATGTGGGTTTATTTCTGGACTCTTAATTCTATTCCATTCGTCTATATGTTTATTGTTACACCAGTACCTGGCTGTTTTGGTTACTGTAGCTGTCTAATATGTTTTCAGATCAGGAAGTGTGAGTCTTCCTACTTTGTTCGTCTCTTTCAACATTGTTTTAGCTATTTGGAGCTTCTTGCCATTCCATATAAAGTTGAGGATAAGTTTTGCTATTTCTGTAAAGAAGGATGTTGGAATTTTGTTGAATCCATAGATTGCTTTGGATAATATTGACATCTTAACAATATTAAGTCTTCCAATCCATGAACATGGAACATCTTTCCACTTATTTAAGTCTTATTTAATCTCTTTCAGCAGTGTTTTTTATGGTTTTCATTGTATAAGTCTTTTATGTCCCTGGTTAGATTTATTTCTAGGTATTTTATTCTCTTAGATGCTATTGTAAATGGAATTATTTCCCTAATTTCCATTTCAGATTTCTCATTGCTGGTCTATCAAAACCCAACTGATTTTTGTTTGTTTACCTTGTACCCTACAACTTTGCTAAATTCCTTGATTAGCTCTGGAAGTTTTCTTGTGGACTTTTTTAGATTTTCTATATATAGGATCATATCATCTGTGAATAGAGATAATTTTACTTCTTCGTTTCCAATCTAGATACATTTTATTTCTTTTTCTTGTCTTATTGCTCTGGCTAGGACTTCTAATACAATATTGAATATAAGGTGTGAGAGTGAGCACCCTTGTCTTGTTCTCAATTTCAAGGGGAAAGCTCTCAGTCTTTCTGCATTAAGTATAATGTTGATTGTTGGCTTTTCATATATACCCTGAATCATATTGAGGAATTTCCCTTCCATTCCAATCTTCTTCAGAGTTTTCATCAAGAAAGGGTATTGGTTTTATTAAATGCTTTTTCTGCATCCATAGAGATGATCGTGTGTTTATTTTCATTTGATGTGGTATATTATGATGATTGCTTTTCTAATGTTGAACCATCCCTGCATTCCTGGAATAAATTCCACTTGGTCATGGTGTATACTGTTTTAATATGCTGCTGGATTCTGTCCACTAGAGTTTTGTTGAGGATTTTGGCATCTATATTCATAAGAGAAATTTCTTTTCTTGTGATGTCTTTTTCTGGTTTGAGTATCATGATTATGTTTGCTTCATAAAATAAATTAGTGAGTATTCCTTCCTTCTCTACCTTTTGGAAGAATTTAAACACTACTGGTATCAATTCTTATCTAAATGTTTGGTAGAATTCCCCAGTGAAGCCATCTGGTCAAGGACTTTTTTTTCTTGGGACGTTTTTGATCACACTGCTGTGTGTTAGGGGTCTGTTGAGACTTTCTGTTTCCTCTTGAGTCAGTTAGGATAGGTTGTGTGCTTCTAAGAATTTGTCCACTTCATCTAGGTTATCCAGTTTGTTGCCATACAGTTGTTCATAATATTCTGTCATAATTCTCTTTATTTCTATCGGGTCAGTTGTAATGTCGCCTCTTTCATTTTTTATTTTGGTTATTTGCATCTTTTCTTTTGTTTGTCAGTCTAGCTAAAGGTTTGTCAGTTTTATTGATCTTTTCAAAGAACCAACTTCTGATTTTATTGATTCTCTCTTTTGTTTTTCTGTTTTCAATTTTATTTCTGCTCTTATCTTTATTATTTCCTTTCTTCTGGTGAGCTTGCTTAGGCTTAGTTTTCTCTTCTCTTTCTAGTTCCTAGAGTTGTTGAGTTGGGCTGTTAATTTGAGATCTTTCTCCTTTTTTTATGAAGGCATTTGTTGCTGTAAGTTTTCCTCTGAGTACTGCCTTCACTGTGTCCCATAAGTTTTAGTATGTTGTGCTTTTTCATTTGAGTCTAAGAAATTTGTGATTTCTCTTTTGATTTCTTCCTTGACCCATTGGTAGTTTAATAGTGTGTTGTTTAATTTCCATATCTTTATATATTTTCCAGGGGTTTTTTTTTTTTTTTTTTTCTGTTATTGATTTCTAGCTTCATTCCATAAGAAGTGACTCATTTCTGCCATTTTGGTGTTTGTTTTTTTGTGTATGTGTTTTTAGCCTTCTTTGTCTTTGTCCTTTACTACTGCTTGCTTTTGTTTTGTTCGTTTATTGTAGTGAGCCTTTTTGGTTCCCTTCTCCTTTCCTTTTGTGTATGTTTTTAATATATTTTCTTAGTGGTTACCAGGGAGATCTGTCCTTTTGGTTTCAAAGGCCTGAACAAGGAGGTAAGGCAGGTATAGTGCTGATTTGGGGAGCAGACTCCACTGCGGCAGGGGGGTTGGGGGGCTTCTGTAAGAGTTTACAACAGCCTGGCAACCAGCAATTACCAGGTGGGGGAGGAGGTGTCATGTTCTGGTCAGATCCCCATAGAGGTCTGCTTTGTTGCTATCGGAGTCCCCCTGGTAGATTGTTAGCTTTAAGTGCAGCCTCCACTCAAGACTTCTGCTTCCTAACACACAGTAGCTATAGTCAGCAGTCCTCAGTGCCAACTGGAATTGGGGGCACACTAACCCTAATTGACTCCCAGGGAGGTTTGTCCTGTTAGTCTCAGAGGCCAGAGCTATGGGGTATGCAGGGATGAAGGTAGAGTGCTGACTATGGGAGCAGACTCCACTGCAAGGCCCTTCTGTAGCAATTCACAGCAGGCTTGCAGGTGACAGTGTCTGGGTGGGGGAAGGGCTGTCATGCTGCAAACGCACCTCCAGGGAGGTCGGCCTGGTTGCTATCAGAGCCCTCCGTGTAGTACGTTGACTGTGGGTGTAGGCCTCCACTAAAGATGCCTATTTCTTACCACACGACAGCCTCAGCCAGCAGTCCTCAGCTCTGACTGAAATGGGGAGCAGACAGACCAGGCCTGACTTCCCAGGAGGTCTGTCCTGTTGGTTTCAGAGGCCTGAGCTATCGGGTGAGCAGGGAGGCAGGTAGAGTGTCAACTCTGAGAGCAGACTCCACTGTACCGGTAGTAATTCACAGTAGGCTTGCAACTGACAGTGTCTGGGTCGGGGAGGTGCTGGCACACTCCAAACAGAACCCCCGGGGAGGTCTGCCTTGTTGATTTTAGGGCAGAAGCTTGGGGTCCTGTCTCTTTGTAAGGCAGGGACAGTGGTCATTAGGGAAGCAGGCTTTTTTTCTGGGGCCACTACCCTAGTTCACAGCAGCTGGAGGCCCACGTGGCTGAGGGAGAGGCAGGGACAGTATGTACTTGTTGTGATTTCTTGATTCTTGCTTATCTACAGTTCTTTGCTGCTCTCCTCTGCTCCCTGATTCAGAGTTCCTCAAAGCCAAGCACCGTTTCCTTGTTGTATTTATGGGGAAAGGTCAGAACGATGGTTAATTTACACCTCCATCTTCCCAGAATTCCCCTGTAATCAAACTTCTTATTGCCAGGGCAGGATATAGACTAAATGCACTTTGTGGTATTGCAGAATAAATGGACCTTTATATGGATTTCTTTTTCTTCCTTATTTTTCTGAATGTAATGTCATTTCAGAGCCACAGCATTTTACAACAACCGTGACTCGATCCAGCCCAACTGTGGCTTTTGTGGAGTTTTCCTCCAGCCCCCAGCTAAAAAACAATGTGCCAGAAGAAAAAGATCAGAAGAAACCAGAAAATGAAATGAGTGGAAAGGTGGAGTTGGTGCTGTCACAGAAGGTGAAGTACATAGTGGACAAAAGTGGTTAAAATTCAAAAAAGTTAATATGGTTTTACATTAGGGTTGGCTGCTGCTGTAACAATTGTTAATAATTATATCTTCTCTCCTAATTATTTTTTATGTCTTCAATTTATATTTTTTCTAGATACATGTATAGTATATGTTCATTGCAAGAAATTAAAAATAGAAAGATATAAACA